TAGGGAAATGGCTCTTAGCAGAGTTTTCTTTGCTTACTTATGTTTATTATAATGTCCTGCGTATACTCTACTGTTTTCTACCTCTGTTATTATTTGAGGTCTTCTTATGGAAGAGAAATGTTACAATATTGGGCATTGATTGTAAGATGTAATACTTTCTGTGACTCTGTAAAACACCTGTAAGTGTGACATGGATTCACTTGATTGATGTAATGAGCTAAATAGAAAGATTTTGTGCACTACTTATTGCTGTTTGGTGCACGTTATAAGCCTAAATCCTTCAGTTCAGCACTTCTTAGTAAGCTACTAATAAAAATGAAATCATGGATATATTTGAGTGTTTCCAGTTGGAATTTAAGTGTTTCCTAATGCAGTGTTCCTCACCCATCAGAGTAACCTTTCCTACAGCTGGGTAAAAATGTCAAACATACCATACTGTTGTTGGTTCCCCTGTTTTGGGCTTTGTTCATAACTGCTGGTTTTAGGACTTTCTTTTTATATAATGGTACCTGGTATCGTAATCATCTCATTTTTTTGGAAGAGCAGGGCTATATACTTCACACTAGGATACCTCTTCATTTTCGGTGCGAATATATGCTCGTCTTAATTTTGACATTTTAACTGCACCAAATTCACGGTGTATTTCCATTTCTGCCTACCTCACACACCTTTCAGTAGGCATTTTCATCACATGATCCGAAAAGACTGGGTTGTTAGCTTTTCAGTATGTAGAATTTACATACCTTTAAGAGTAGCAGAGGAAGAAGTGGGAATTTTTCATTCATAGCTACTGGATCATTGGATGACACAATATATTTTCTTCTACTTGATTCTCATAAACCACTTCTTGAGTAGCAGGCAGAGTAATTGCTTCGGGAAAAGTTTATTGCTGGATGTTTAACCACAATAAAATTTTATGAGATTTATGATGCATTGTAAAGTCCTGTGGGAGGCAAAAACGTTTTTGAGTTTCTTGAGTTTGAAAGGTTGCTCAATCAAACTTTTTAGCAGTGCCTGTTGTGATAGGACAAGGGGTAATGGTTTTAAACTAAAAGAGGGTAGATTTAGACTAGATATAAGGAAAAAAATTTTTACAATGGGGGTGGTGAAACACTGGCACAGGTTTCCCAGAGAGCTGGTAGATGCTTCACCTGTGGAAATATTCCAGGTCAGGTTAGACGGGGCTCTGAGTTGAAGATGTCCCTGCTTATTGCAGGGGGGTTGGACTAGATGACCTTTAAAGGTCCCTTCCAACCCAAACTGTTCCATGATTCTATGAAATCCTCTGTCAGTTATCCCTGTAACTGGAATTGTCTCGGTGTCCCTGAGTGTCTCCCGGAAAATTAATTACAGAAACCATGAGCATTGGGTGCCTGCTCTATTTGCCAATAGTGAGTGCACAGAGATTTTTCAGATAAGGCATCTTCCAACAAAAAAAATGGATAGATCTTATTCAGAATGATTAGAGAAGTTCAGCCATAGGGTAAGAATAATGATAGGAAGCTGTGGAGGAAGTTATAAAAAACTGGGGAGAAGAGTTTGGAAAGAAAAACTCAGTGTGGTTTTGTGACATGGTATAAAAAAGCAGATCTGTATCCAAGGTGGAATAGTAAGAAAAAATCATTGGAACCCACGTTATCCTTTCTCAGTAGCTCTGCACATAGTCTCCCTTCCAGTTTTGCCCTCTCTCTTGCTGCAGGCATCACTCAGCCTCCAGTTTGGTTGAGGGAAAGTATGTGAGCATGTGCCAAGCCACCAGGGTCAATTTCTAATTCTCACACTTTCTGAAATTTATTTTTTGTGGACTTTTTCCTCCTTTAGTGCTTTCTCCAGACATTTGAGGGTAGAAGTGCTCTATTTTTCCACCGCATTACTTTCCTCTATATACCCACTTGTGGTTAAAAGCCAGTCAGTAACCTGGAAATGAAGTCATCAGTATTATTTCGAAGAATAGAATTTTGGAGCTGAAGAGAAACAGAGTTTGTTCATTGGGTCTTTCAGGTATTCGTAGCAATTAAAGGAGAGTTTGCCTTTAAAAATTAAATAAAAAAACTAAATTAGAACAATTTTAAAACATTCAATTAAAGTCAACTTTGCTGGCCATACCAAGCTGTGTGGTGAGGTAGACATGCTGGAGGGGAGGGATGCCATCCAGAGGGACCTGGACAGGCTGGAGAGGTGGGCCTGTGCAAACCTCATGAAGTTCAATAAGGCCAAGTGCAAGGTCCTGAATGTGGGCTGAGGTGATCCCAAGCACAAATACAGGCTGGGCACAAAACAGATTGAAAGCAGCTCTGAGGAGAAGGACTTTTGATGTTGGTGGATGAGAAGCTCAACATGAGCTGGCAATGTGCGCTCACAGCGCAGAAAGCCAACCGCATCCTGGGTTGCATCAAAAGCGGTGTGGCCAGCAGGTCAAGGGAGGTGATTCTGCCGCTCTGCTCTGGGGAAACCCCACCTGGAGTGCTGTATCCAGCTCTGTGGTCCCCAACATAAGAAGGACATGGACCTGTTGGAGCGGGTCTAGAGGAGGCCACAAAGATCATGAGAGGGCTGGAGCACCTCTGTAATGAAGGCAGGTCAGAGAGTTGGGGCTGTTCAGCCTGGAGAAGAAAAGGCTCCGGGGAGACCTTATTGTGGCCTTCCAGTATCTGAAGGGGGCCTACAAGAAAGCTGGAGAGGGACTTTTTACAAGGGCATGTAGTGATAGGACGAGGGGGAATGGCTTCAAACTGAAAGAGGGGAGATTTAGAATAGATACCAGGAAGAAAGTTTTTACTGTGAGGGTGGTGAGGCACTGGCACATGTTGCCCAGAGAGGTTGTGGCTGCCCCATCCCTGGAGGTGTTCAAGGCCAGGCTGGACAGTGTTTAGAGCAACCTGGTCTGGTGGGAGTTGTCCCTGCCCATGGCAGGGGGTTGGACTAGATGATCTTTAAGGTCCCTTCCAACCTAAACCATTCTATGATTCTATGAGAGTAAATTGTCTATGATTTTATTACCTTTGCTATTTTTATGGGGGAATCAGGAAAAAAGAGTCTTGAGTTTGAAGATGGGTGTGCATTTTACATAGTGTCTGCAGAGTGGGTTTTAAACTGCTCAATGTAAAAAATAAGTACTTCTGTAGATGTTTTTTATTTTCCTTTTTCCAAATTGGTGGTTTCTTACCACAAAATCTTTCTTTTCTCTAGGGCTTCATTCGGATGTTCAGCATCGGTTACCTGATCCAGTGTTGCCTTCGGATTCCATCCACCTTCCGTCACCTGTTTACAGAACCATCCCGGCTACTTTCCCTCTTTTACAACAAGGAAAATTTCCAGCTTGGAGCTTTTCTGGGATCTTTTGTTAGTATATACAAAGTAAGCTTATAACATACAGAAATGACGAATGCCATGTTTTTTATTTCACTTTTCAGAATATCATGAAGAGCTGGGAAGTCTAACCACTTAATATTACTGATAGTGTTTGCTACAGCATGTCACTGACAAATTCTATAGTATTGGAGTAATCAAATTGCAAATAGAAAACGAGTCTTCCATTCCATGTGTTTTTTCTGTCATTTCTGAATGAACCAGATGGATTTTGCAGAACGGTATCAAGATCAGGAGATAAGGAGAACTTCAGAGAAAGTGAATTCAGATTTCAAAGGGACTTGCTGCTACACAAAAACATTTTAGTGCAGACGCAAGTAGTGACTGCAGGAGCAGCAGTGTTGCCAGAGAAAAGCCATTTGCAGATTTTTTTTGGCTCAAATATCTGGAATTCTTACTTGACACTAAATAGCAGATCGCAGAACATATATCATGTGCAGCTGAGGAGACATTGCACTTACCACTTGGAAATTTGCCCTTCTACACCTTCATAAGCTGACAGACTGTGGACTGATACGCGTTTGTACAGCATTGTTGGAGTTAATCAAGTTACGTTTATTTATGCCAAAAGAGAATGTGACCAAGCACACACCCAAGGGGAGAATAGATTGTATAGTGCAGCACTCAAGTGGCTTTTGCACTTTTATGTTCTTAATCACACGTGTCATTTTTCAACAGCTATGTTACTTGTTTTGCGGAGTTAAGATAATTCTGTATTATTCAGGGTAAACGTTGCTTACTGAAAATTAAAAAAACAAGTGTTATTTGTAAGCAAAGCCCCATTTCACTTGATTTGCAATCAGATTAGGACAAGAATTTTAAGGTTACAGAGTTTCAAATTTGTAATGGCAACGTGCAAATGGGTTGTTCAGAGTTTATGTGAAAATTAAATATTTGCTCAAACTTTAGGAAAAGAGCCTTTAGAGAAAAACGTATTTAAATTGCAAAAACTCAAATGATTTTGATTTATTTTAATAGCTCCAATTGCAATGTGTAATTTAGTTCTTTAGATATTCATTTTATGAGTGACATACTCTGACCTTTATTTATAGTTTATTAAATATGCACTTTCTGTTATTGTTTGTGTTCCATAACTTGCCTAGATTTGGGTTGCATTATATTTTTCTTCCAGTTTGAAATAAGCATGTAGGGCAGCAGAGATTCTAGTCACTCCAAAAGACTGGATCACAGCCCAAAAAAATGAAATGCTTGATGTATTTTGAACCCAAAGGAATTGCATTATGGACTGCTTTTAAAAAAAGTCTATCTTGTCCCTAAAAGCAGTCTGAAGTGCCATTGTAGGATTGTAGTACTATTAATATTTTGTGTTCCCCTTACTGTTAATTAATGTCAGCAAACATGGTTGTGCAGAAAAAAAGTTGGCCATTGTAGCCTGGTTTAATTTTTGAATTTATTTTATTTATTTAATTCATTTTTTAAATTAGTTTACAAGTTTGAGTAGTGATGTTGACTGACATAATTGCAATATATCAATGGCTTTGCAAGGAATTTATTTATGTGCGCTATGAAATAGCTAGTGAGACCACATCTGTGGTACTGTGTCCATTTTTGGACACATATTACTTAATTTCTTCTTTTAATTTTAATGTCTTTTTCAAGGGTGGGTTCACCTGATGGCTGGGTCATACGACATGCAAGGAGAAGCTGGGATAACTGGTTTTCATGCTGGAGTAAAAAGGTTCAGGGGAGATTTCATTGCTACCTACACCTCTTGGAGGTGTGCGGTGATAGAATTAAACACAATGGATACAAGCTCAAGTACAGGATATTCCAAAGAGATATAATGAAACATGTTCTCATGTGAGGGTGTCCAAAAATAGGAACAGGTTGCCCGGGTAAGGCTGTGTAGTCTCCATCCATGGAGATACTCAGAACTCCACTGAACAAGTTCCTGAGCAACCTGCTCTAATTAGACCAGCTTCAGGCTGGAGGTTGGAGCAGATGATCTCCAGAGGTCCCCTGCAACATGAGTTATTCTTTGATTCCATGAAAAGCACGCATTAGATGGATTGAGAGCCAGACACGTATCTCAAAGCCGACATCAGCAGGCTGTCACACTGAATTATATCATGTTGTCTCAGTGCCATCAGCACTGGATTGGGCCTTACCAAGCAGATCTCAAACCATTTCAAAGCAAACAGAAATTTACCAGGGATAAAATTTGGAGACCAAGTATGGATTTCCAAAACAGTTGAAAAGACAATGCAGAGGATGTGGCAGATGTGGAACAATTTGGATCATTTGGTAACCTGCAGTCATCCAAATGAAGTATATTTGAATGCAGTCTAAGCCACAGTTACTTACATCCATTCTGGCCTAAACAGCTGTGTAGTGTTGTCTGTGTCAGCAAACAGGTTATTATGTGTTTCACTGTATGCTGTTCTAATGTTTTAGATTAATTTGTTTTCCTGGTTCCAGAATTTATTGGGTGTGTGGCAGAATCTCAAGGTGTTCGGTGTGTAGTAGAAAACAGACTTTATCAGGGTCTAGACAACTACAGCAAATGAAGATGATGCGAATTCAAAATTAGCTTTAGAATTAGATTGGTATTCAAATTAGACTGGTCTGCTCTCTGATTTTTTTGAAAAAAACAGTAGTGGTGAATTGTTAATTAAAACACTGAAATGTTTCAGATACTATGGATTATAGGTTTTATCACGCTACACTCTTAATTCACACTGTGTGCTATATTACGAGTTTCCAGAGGAATATCTCCAGTCTGTATCTTCTGAAAGAGAAATAACGAGGGCTAATCCTGCGCTCTGTTCACCACCAGGGTACGAGTTGCTTCCTGCGTTGGGTACGAAACCTAGATGATGAGCTTCACGCACTTGTAGCTGGTGAGTCCATGACAAGAAGTTTATGTTGCCTCTGTTGGGACTTTGCAAATATTTCTCTTGTCTGTCCTCCCGTTCCCTTTTCAGACTTCTGTGATGAAAATAGGACTGTGTACATCAAGGTTGTGTCAAAGTGACAGGGGGGTTTCAAGTAGCTTCAAATAAAGAGTCAAAACTAAAATTGTAAGGCAAATTCAATCAAATGGTGTGGGGTTTTGTGGTCAGCTTCAAGGACAGTATATTATTGTATGCGCAAATGTAAACTTGTCCTTTATTTTCCAACTGTAGAGATGTGAGGTTCAGATACTGTCTTTTCCATACGTGACAGAATACACATTTGGAAGGGTGGGCTCCACTGGATCCGAAGAAGGACCCTTTTGCCATGACATTTGTGTGGTGTCCCAGGCCCTTCCCCGCGGTTTGTGCACCTATCATGCATTGCAGCCTGAGAGGCCTTTGTGGGATGAGGGGGGAAGTTTAATACCGTGTTCCTGAGCACTGAACTACAGATTTCCTTCAGGGTTTCAAAATTCTTTTTTTTTTTTTCTTTTAATGCCGTAAACCATAGTTTGATGGGCAGCACAGGAACATCACTGAACTTTGTTGTAGCAACAGAAAGCACGACCTTGTGCGGTGTTGAGCTGACGTACTGCAACAGCAACAATAAGTCACCGTCTTAACAATACTTTTGTTTTCTAATTGTTGCAGGGTGCCTAGCAGGAATTTCTATGATGTTTTACAAAAGTACTACTATCTCTATGTATCTGGTGTCCAAATTAGTAGAGGTAAGATGTTACCCTCGAAGCAGAGTTCTGTATTTCATCTGTTTTTTCAAAGCCGAGAAAGAAAATGAACTTCACAGGCTTTGTCAGACAATTCCAGTGTAACACAAAGTTGTGTGGCGGTCGTGTGTTTCAGTAGGTGTGTGCCAAGAGGCAGTGCTGTTCTGTGGTTATTTCTTTCTTATTTTCCTTTCTATGACTCATTTTCAAAGTCCTTTATCCACTGGTGTCCATGTATATTCTCCATGATTTTTTTTAATCTCCTGATAGCCTTTTGCTTTGTAGCTTTTGCAGATTTTTTAAATCTGAAAGTTCCAAGAATGTCTATTCTGCCAGAAACATAAATCAAAACTATTCCTTAATTGCAGATTTATTGCCAAAAGCTACAGCTTAACTTCCTGCCTTTGTTCCCTAATTTTGGCATTCAGCAGTCCAAGATAACTCAAAATAGCTTAGGTTTTAGTCTATAGCTGGAGTTGTTTGTCGATATACTTCAACTGATTGAATTCCCAGCTTTGCAACGAACTTCGTTCTAATTACTGTTTTGCAGACTTGAATTACTTCTATGAACTTGTTAAAATTAGGAGCTCAGGAAAAAATAAAAAAGTTTGTAGAGTTTGAATATGTTGATTATACTTTGCTAAGTGGCTTTTGCTTTCTTACTGTGATTTTTCCATAAAATCGGGACTTAGTCATGGTTATTTCCCCAACAGTACTGCTGGAATAAGTTAAGACTGTTCTCTTATTATGCATCATCCCCGAATCACAAAGCTTTCTCCTGCAGCCCTCGAGGGCCTCATTCCCGGGTGATATTTATCCACCTCCATTGCCACAGCAGAATTCATTTAAAAGAATATAAAAAGAAGGAACTTTTTTTTCTTTAAAGGATAAAATTAAACATAAAAAGGGAAGATATACTCGGTTATTCTTGCTCCTTGTAATCCTAGATCAAGCTCTGAAGGTAGTTCGCATATGGGTTATATAAAACCATCTCTGAGTTATCCATATTGACTTTTAGAACACCAGCTGTAAAAAAAACAGTATTATCTTGTATTGTGGCTGGTTTTCTCTGGACTTTGAGACATTGTGGCTGCAGCGAAATAAGAAATGAGCTATGTGTTCTTTCTTTCTTTCTTTCTTTCTTTTTTTTTTTTAAACTACTTTTATCATCTTACGCAAGCCAAGGGTAACTGACCAGAGAGGCGTGTGCTGCTTTGGAAGGTCAAGCTGTGCTCAGGAAAATAAACTTTACATGTTTTCTCAGAAAGAAAAGTATGTGATTTCAAGCTGTTTAAGAACAGTGAATATTCACTTTGTTGGAATAGTAATTGCATTGTTCTTTTGCTTTTTTAAAATGGAGAATTTAACATAGCAAACTTTCCCTTTTTTATCTTTAAGATCTGTGTTACCCTTTTAACACCCAAGCTGTTGCGAGGTCCTGTTCTATGCATTTAAAGCCCCTTATTCTATTGATCTTGGATAACTTCTATAAGCTAGCTCAATCAATGCCATGTCTGTGCACATAAACAAAGATACATGAGCATAGCTTAGTAATGTTGACAGGGTTTTCTGAAAAGGTAAAGTAAGTAAAAAGCTACGTGCTACTTTTACTTAGTTTCATTCAGCATTTTTTATTTATTTTTATAGACTATGTACTTCAAAGGCATTGAAGCAGGGAAGGTTCCCTATTTTCCTCATGCAGACAGCATCATCTATGCCATTTCCACGTCGATATGCTTTCAGGCAGTAAGTATGTTGTCTTCTAACAGAGGTTCTTTTAGTTTAAGTCAAATGTTGAATGAAATGAGGAGTGCAGGAATACAGTGATACGGAAAAGGTGGTGTGACGTAGTGATTCCAGCAAGATGCTGTGAATCGGGGCTCCTGCGTCCTGCTTTTGAGTGTCACTGTGGGAACATCATTTCTAGAACTCCAATTTCTCATACGCTTATATCATACATACAAAGCATTGAATTCTTTGGAAAGGATCTTGAAATGCATTGACCCAAAAGATGAACATAAATGTGTGGATTTTCGTAAGCGTATGAAAGGACAGTTCCTCAAGGAGACAAACAGTATATTGTAATTTTTATTTATTTATTTATTTATTAATCAACTGGAAGTTTTCACTTTCAGCTAACCTGAATTAAAGTTGCTTATTTGAAAAAATCTGCAAAAATGACAAGGAAACCTGAAGTTTTACATTCGAAACAAGCTGTAGTTATCGTCTTTGGCACTTCCCAAGTCAATTATGTACCTTCACCCTCAGTCCTTTTATCAGTGGCATCAGCTAGAAAAGCTCCTTTTCAGTGATACCCAAATTACTTCTCTACTACATCTCTCCATTTCTAGACCTTCTGCTGAAACATCCCACCGAGTGTCTTCTGGACCTCCATAACTATGTGTATTTTTTGTATCCCTCTATAAAAAGAATATTAAATGACCCTAAAAAGAGTCTTCTGCTGTCTTGTGCTTAACACAACAGTTCCACTCCTCCTCCTCATTGCTCCCCTATATTTGGGAATACCTCTTATTCGAGGATCAAAGCGAACTCATATTTTAGTGCTTGGGATGTGCCTGAAGGTCTGCAGCATTGACATCTCCAAAATACTCTTGGCAAGGACCATCGTATGGGGCTAACAGAAATAAAGTTCCCATGAGATAAGAGGAGAGGGTTTTTTTCATTACTTAATAACTAATTGGAAAAGGGATCCAAGACTAGAAATCAATTGCTAGGTTTAGGAGGGAGGAAGGAGAGGGAAATTAGCAAAGGGATCTATGCTGAGATGTTTGTTACTCACTATACTCATAAGTGACCCAGAAAAGTAATGGAATAGAGAGTAGACAAGGATTTTGGTTATGTAACACTATTTAAGGTATGTAACATGAAATCTAAAGATGACTACAAGAAATAGCAGATCACAAAACTCAGAGTGAGCGGGGGATAAAATAGTAGGTATATTTGGCATCCACAAGTGCAAAGTCATGTACGTAGGAATAATAAGGATTATTGTTGCTTTCTCTGCAATGAGATCTAAGTTAATTACCCCACTTTTGAGAGACAGCAGCCTGGGAATACCAGTCCGTGCTGGTGGGGGTCGTACAGAGCATCCAATTCAGCTGTGAGACGTTTGTCTGCTGACGGCGCAGGACATGGGCAGGTGATCACAGCTGCTTTCAGTCCATGAATCATGAGATGATTTTTAAAAAATTAAATGTGTATTTCCGTAACTATCCTTTCACTGCTTTTGGCAACATAATGTCGTGGATGAAGCTTTTGCCTTTTGCTGTCAGCTGGCTCTGACAGAACACTCTCCTTGCAGGCTGTCATGGAAGTTCAGAACCTGAGACCTTCGTACTGGAAATTTCTTTTACGACTAACAAACGGCAGGTATGTCATCAGGGGTATGTTAGGGCTTGTCTAAACGCATCGTCGGCCACATCCAGCTTTCTGTGTCAACAGCAGCGCCGTAGGAGCACACACGGGCTAATTGCCTGAGTATTTACTTTGCTTTTCAAATGGTTTCCAGTCCACTGGAAGTTCTTTGCTGCTGAAGCGATGTTGCTAGGTTTAGTCTGATGGCAGGAGCAAAGACTTACATCTAGTTAAGACTGTTTAGCAGGTGAGTGTTTTACTGGAAGGCTTTTTTCTTTAGTTCAGTGGGAAGGTGGAATGCTTTCTGATTTCAGTGGAATATGAAAACTCCAGTAAACAGCTCTACAGGGTGAAGAAATCACTTAGTATGTACAGTGATTGACAACATGGTATTACTACGTGTTTAAAAGCATTACTAGAAATGTCAGAGTATTTCCTAAGAATACTCTGAAGATTCAGTAGTTCAATTGGGAAAGGAATTTTTTGTCTTGGAAAACTAATAAAAAATTTTCACTGGTTGTAACCATAAATTTACACTCTAATATCTCACTGAATATTTTTTCTCTTATTTGCTGTGGGGATCTAAAACGCTTCCCTTTTAAAATAGATTTTGCTGTAACTGCTTTTTAAAAATCCAGTTTAGTGAAGGGTGCACTATGATACTGATGCTGTACGTGGCAGAAACAAGGCATCCAAATCTTAATGCAGATCAGCTTATGAATGAGTTTATAAAAGGTAACATTTGTCGTGACAGTGAGCTCTCCAGACTATAAAAATAGAAGCGAAATCCGAGGCCAGTCCCTGGAGCATGTTGACCCTACGCTCCCCATGGCACAGTACACTCTTAGCGGGACACGAGGTGACGGAACGCGTTGCTGGAGGCAGTGGGAAGCTTTCCTTGGGACGCCTGGAGGCAGTCTGCAGGCAACCTCGGAGGCCACACAAACATGACCCGGGGGGTGATGTCAGTGCAGATGTCCAATTTTGGCTGCATTTTCCCCTCTTGTGCTAATCCTGAGATTGCTTTAGTTGAAAGAGAGGAGGGAAAAGAAATTCGATTCTGCTCATTTATTTTATCTGAAGTAAATCTCTGTAACAGTCATTTTGACACTCTCTCCATAGAGTGATGTTTCACAGGTCAGTCACTCAACAATTTTGAAGATTTAAGAGACTGAACGAGACTATAACACCCATAAAATTGTTATTTGGACTCGAGCAGGCATGGCCAGCGTTTGGGAGGCTGGGGTGAGAAAGAAGAGTGGTATATTCTGGTTTGACTTTTTTTGTGAAATTAAAAGCAGAAGGGGACTCTCTCCCCTTTTCCACAAGTTGTGTTGTAGAAAATGTATCTACACACAGCACTATTATTGACAGATTTGTCAAAGATTTGGGTAGTCTTTCATGAAATGAAATAATTTTAATAATTTTAGACATAAATTAATATTTTATTCATAGAATAAATTTTAGTAATTTTACTTTTTCAAAAGAAATGTAGTAATCTGGTCATTCTCTCATGTCTCTTCTTTTTCAGGTTTGCTCTTATGAACAGGAAGGTTTTAGATGTATTTGGTACTGAAGCATCTAAGAACTTCAAGGATTTCACACCTAAGCTTGACCCAAGATACACTGTTGTACCACCAGAGCTACCGCTGGAGCTGTCTTGAAAACGATAGTGTATCTTGTCATTGAATGTGATCAGCGTTTTGTCCTGAAAAGTTAATGAACTGAACAGTCGTATCAATGGAGGAGGGCTTGGGCTCCACTTCAGTATTATTTCAATGAGAAATGCTTTTTACCAATCAAAAATACTGAAGCTTTGCAGGAAGGTGTGGCTTAGTGATTAAGCCCCTTCTGTACACGGAAAATATTTCTGGATTACTGTAGTTGGTTGACAGTATGGTAGATTCCTGAATGAATTAAACAAATGAGTAATATATTTAGAGAAGAGAAGTAAAATATAAAGATGCATAATAATTTCAAAAATTCTGTAGTTCATACCAGTAGAATACTTCTTGGTGAAACTAAAAGTAATTCTTAATTTACAAAGCAAAACAAATGGCATAGTTTAGGTCCAAAATTTTACCTGATCTTAAAACTATTGCAGTTGCGTGAGAATGCCTCTCCTTGGCTTCCCAAATTGCATCACAGATTTATCTCAAAAGAGCCACCGCCCACTCATTATTTAAAGTTACAGTACTTTTACACACCTACGGTTGCAAACTAAGGCATTCCTTTGGAAAAGAAAATGTGTATTGATTGAGAAATCACATTCCAGGGCTGTAAATCCCACTGCCAATGCGGATAACGGAGAAGGAAAATGAGAAGGCGGTAGCGGTGGCTGCTGCGCCGTGAGGAGCGGTGGGGTGTGGTGGGCGGCATCTGCCAAGTGGAAAATGACAAAACCGGCAGAGGAAGGAATGAAACGTTCCAACCTCTGAGATGGTGCTGGAAACAGCGGACAGTTACAAAAATAAAAAAAAAGCCGAGAACAAAACAAAACAAAACAAAAATCCCCCAAAAATATCCTGAAATGAAATGTTTATTTTTCAAGGGCTTGAGATTGTCGCTTTAGATGGCACCGAGTTTTTTGGGAAGTGGCAACGCCAGCCAGCATTGCCAGCCTTTTTTTTAAAGAGAGCTGACCCCCGAGGTGAGACTGTTACAAGAGCACACTTCCAACGATCGTATTAATAGTATTTTTTCCTTTACTTGTGAAGAGGGGTTTTTCCGTCGGTCCATCAGACAGCCACAACGGGGACACTTCCATTAAATTTAATATGGTACTCAACGCAAATAACTACCTAAGCAGATTCCATCTCATTTTGACCCTGCGTATTCCTGCACATGATAGTTTGTGTTCTAAAGCCAGAGCTTGATGTGCTGATTGCTTTTTTTGCTTTTGGGGGCTTTTTTTTTTGGTTAGAATCCATTCAGGTGGGGCTGAATGATGTTTGTTACCCTAGAACTTAATGAAAAGATGAACTATATTCACATTCAACTGAAAAGAGACGGGCTAAGCCAGGGAATGGAAATTGCAGTAGGTTGCATGTATTTTAAAAAGAAAAAAGAAGACGAAATCAGTGTTTTATTGGAAGTCTTTGTCAGATGATATGAATTGGATTAATTAACAGAATCTTTGTCTTGTAACACTGTAACGCTACCCCAGCCTTAAGCATATTTTAATTCCCATTAGTTTAATTTCTTATTGCTGGATATACGGTGATTTTTATCAGATTTACAGAAATGTCATGAAAATTGTACCAATCTGTGCACAAAATCTGCTTCTTCATCAGCTACTGTAACAGTGATGCTTTGTCACTGTTCCTAAAGGTGCTTCATCCTTTAAAACAGCCGTTGTCCGAGTTAGTGTGAATAAAGTTCTGCAAGCTAGTTTGTATGCAATATTTTATTGCTTGAAATATTATATTAAAATTCCTCAAAAGGAAAGAAAAGTTAATTCAACAAGAACTTTAAAAGGATCGTAATAGGTTTGTAGTGTTTTTCCACTGGAATATGGTCTAAAATATTTGACCTTGTAAAGTCTGAGAAGTTATATATTTTAGGTAATATGTTAGAACTCACACGCTATATTATGAATACTTTCTAGTGTAACTACATGCCATTCTCAAACTTCAAGATATTTTATAGATGGATTAATTTTCTTCACTGGAATGACAATTGTGATTGTTTCTCTATTTGAATTTAAAAAAATCCAAGTACTACATCTCAGCAGCTGAACAACAGTTTTGTCTATGTTCACTTGCTTCCAAAATTCAGTCTTTGTTTCGAGTTATTTTCATGTAATATAAAAAGAAATTTTAAAAGTTTTAAATTATTTTTATTCAAATCAAGTATATGTAAGAGGAAGAAAAATAAAGTCCTAATGTTTTTCCCAATAATAAAAAGTTGCTGCTTGAAAAAAGTGACCTTTTGTCCGTGTGGTTGTTAATAAGCCGTCTGGAGTTCTAAGTGAAGTGATACTTTGCGGTGAAGGAACGCCAGGAATGTGGCTGAGCATTTAAATTGTGGGTATTTCTACAAACTAAAGTCCTAACGCAGTGTAATGAGTGAAGAGGTAACGCCAAAGCAGTTCAGCTGACAACTTCGGCGCTGCGCTTCCACGGGTAATTATGCAATGTGGGTCGATGTTATTTAATGGTTCTTTTTTTAAACAGAGACAGCCACAGAGGCGGTTATGAAGGCAGTGAAAAGCTGCACGCCTCCAGCTCTGACGGCCACGTGGCCAGGCGGTTGGGCCTCATGTGACTGAAATGACGGTGTGTCCTACCACCTGACGTGGCACGGCTGTTTATTTTTTTTGATCATATGGTGGGTGTCTGTTTGATCACGTCAAACTTCTTGCAAAAGAAGTTGATCTTTTCACTCAGGGTGGTGAGGCACTGGAACAAGTAGCCCAAGAAGATGTGTCTGCCCCATCCCTGGAGATGTTCAAGGCCAAGCTGGATGGGGCTTTGAGCAACCTGGTCTAGTGGGAGGTGTCCCTGCCCATGGCAGTGGGGTTGGAACTAGATGATCTTCAAGGTCCCTTCCAACCTAAACCATTCTATGATTCTGATTTTGCAAAGAGGAATACAGGGGGAGACTTGCTCAGAAGATGGTGGGAAGTGGTGAGTCAACCTGAAATACCGGAATTCCTTGATAGAGGTTTGGGTGTCCTTAGGGAGGCTGCGCAAGAAGGTGGTGCTTCGCTCCCTGGAGGTACCTCAGCAGGGTGTACCACGAGCTGCTGCTTCATCCATGGCATCCATGGCTCCCAGGAGTCGGGAGCAAATACGCCTGTGGTAGGCAACTTTTTCACCTTCCCTTGAGGCTGTTTGCATGTACGGCTCTTCTGGAGACTTCATCCCCATCCCTTCTGCTCCTACTGCACCGCTCTTACTGTGCATCTTGTTCTCTCCCCATCTTGTTCCCTCTGCCAGATCCCAGCCTTTTGCCCCAGTTCCTCCTGGTTCTTCATCCCTCCCTCACCTCTACCCAGCCCAGTGTTAGCTGTCCCCTGGCCTCCCTTTTGTCTTACAAGCTCCATCTACAGCCCTTGGGTGCCTCCTTCTGCTGCTTCAGAACCGCTCCACTGGGCATCCAGGGGAGTGCTGCTCCCGCCTGAGGGAGCAGTCAGGCAGGGATGCTCCCTGGTCCACCCCTGCTTTTGCTGCCACCCTTGGGTTTCGGTTGGCAAACAGCAGAATTTAGCAGTCCAGACCTAGAGTTTCCCGCCTCCCAATCCAAGACATTCTGGCTGTGACTAAGATAAATGTGCAAAATCCCAAAGTGAAGGTTGCGGTCAACTTCTCTATGCCCAGAGAAGTTGTGGAACCTTCATCCCTGGAGATGTTCAAGGCCAGGCTGGATGGGGCTTTGAGGAACCTGGTCTAGCAGGAGGTGGCCCTGCCCATGGCAGGGGGGTTGGAACTCAATGATCTTCAAGGTCCCTTCCAACCTAAACCATTCTATGATTCTTTTATCTTTTATGATGGATACTTGTTAATATCCTTTGCCTGCCATTGTTCAGCTGATTTTGAGGCCCTGTGAGATTGCTCCCGTTGCAGACCTTCATCGCTTATTGGAGGTGATGTTGAAGGTGTTGACATCTGCCACTGAGATCCACTAAAGGAGAGGATTGGGTTTGGGGTTTTTTTTGGTTTGGTTTTTTTTTTTACAGAATCATTTTAAATCTAGCACACGATTGAGATCTTGCAGACAGTGCAGGTTTTCTGGGTTCACGTGTGGTACATATTTCCACCAGGGAGCACATGAAGGCATACAGACATTTTGATCTTTTAGAGAGCTAATAATAAAAGCGGGGAATGCTTACAATGACACGTTTTTAGTTTTTCTAGATAAAGCTGTCTCAGTTCATGAGGAAGATCATCAGAACTGCTTCAGTGTAGGTGGCGGGATTTCACTGCTGAAGGTAAAAGCTTGAGCTTCCTTGTGTTGTCTCACACCTGGGTCTTCAGGACAATCTCAGGACCTCTGCCTTCTGCAGGTGACATCACTTCAAGCAAGGCTACTCTGAAAAAATATGGGTTTCTGTTGTCTGGTCAAGAAGCTCCACGTTCCTCATTGTTTCTCAACCACAGTGAGAACCAAGATGCCTTCCATAATATGGACAGCCTGTTCTAGTAGCTTCCCACCCCTCTCATGGCAGACCTGGGACCCTTTTACCCCAGCTATCTTAGCTCAAACATTTCTGAGAACTATCAGTAAGGCTCAAAAATAATTTTCAGAAAACTCGTTGGGCTGTTCCCCTTCTTTGAGCGTTTCCCTTCCTTTTGCCATGGCCGAGGTGCTTTTGCATTTGTTTGAGGCCGAGGGAAGGGGTTCGTTCCAGATGCTTGCTGACATCCCTGGCAGAGGGGTCTGCTGTGGTCTGAGCTCAGGCCTATGCTGGGCAAAATAAAAATTCAGGACAGCTGGTGTGAAAATGCTTCAATTTCCAACTCTGCCAGAGGAAAATATTTCTGGACAAGTGGTTATGGGATGGGTGTGCACTGACAAGGCACAAAAAGACTGAGAGCAAGAAAATCAGTGATGCTTAAACTGAACTCTTACTTTGTTTAGGACTATTTTTCCACAACTACTTTTAATATGAAGCAGAGGCAGGGCCCAGGCTCTCTACGTCAGCATCGGGGTTATGAATCCCTGCCGTGATGCAGAAGAAACAAGACCGGGGAGCAGGCGGTACATAGCAAAATGCAGTTGAGGCCGGCAAAGTCATTTTGGTGGCCACAGCTTTGTGCCCAAATCCTGGTCTGGAGGTTCCCATTTCCAGATTTGTTTCTAAGCAGTGAGCTGTTCTCCAAGGAGACTGGCATTTCCCTCACTTCAGCCCTTGTTCTGCACCTGGATGAATCCAGCACTGGGGGGTACTTGCAGGTGACTCAATTTGGGGACAGGTTTCCCTTTCACAAGTCACCTCCTTTTACAAAACAAATAGGTTTTCTCCCATTCCTTTGAGGATACAATGGAAGAATTTGTCCCTTTCCCTTGAGCCACAGAGTTTCACGTGTTTTCTTATTATTTAGTAGAAGATGCTGAATGTTTTATTTATCCTGTAGATACATTTACAGTAATATTTGAGACAAGGATATTTTTTCCCCCCAACACTCCCCCTTGCCTTTGGCCACATTGAAATGGGATGGCTTCACTCTGGGCACAACACCCACCTTTCGCAGCTGATGGATTATGTCCTTCCATCTCCATCAAATATGACA